TACATAACCCACCAGCAACATAGGAGGATTCCAGTCTCTTCACATCCTCGCCAGCAATTGTTACCCTCTGCTTTTTAGAATTTCACTGTTATTACTGGCATGAGATGTTGTTTTGATTTGCATCTCCTGGTGTGGTGCTATGGGTTAATGTGCTAGACTGCATAATCCGTTTGATCCACAGCTTGATGACCTGATCAATTTCTTCCTTTGTTATAGGTCTGTTCACGTCTTCTACTTCACTCTGTGTAAGTTTAGGTAGGTCTTGTTTTTCTAAAAATGTATCCATCTCTTCTGGATTTTCAAATTTATTGGAGTACAGCTTTTCTGGGTAGACGATTCTTAGTTGGCAGTTTTTTTTTATTCAAGGTTCTATATATATGCCTCCCCAATGCCTTCTTGCCTGCATGGTTTCTGCTGAGAGATCAGAGCTTAATCTTATTTGCTTACCTTTGTAAGCAACACTTCTCTTTTCTCTAGCTGCTATCAGGATTCTCTCCTTGTCTGATTTTGGAGCACTTGATGATATGTCTTGTTGATTTTCTTTTGGAGTCTATCCTTCTTGAAGTTCACTGAGCTTCTTGAATGCTTTTCACTTTTCAGGATGTTAGGGAAATTTTCTTCCAGAAGCTCAAGTATGTCCTCTGTGATCATTCCTGTTCCAGGATTTCAATAACCCTTAGGTTATTCCTCTTCACGTTGCCTTACTTCAGATTTTTTAATACTTTTTTCTGCTTGCTCTTGTATCTTATCAGTATTGAGAGATTTGTCTTCAAGCTCGCTGGTTCTGGCTTCCATCTCTTCATTTCTAATCCACTGCCCTTTCAGTGTATTGTCCATTTCTGATATTTTATTATTAAATCGTTTGGACCTCTTTTTGCAAGTTTAAATTGTTCCCAATGCTATTTTTATCTTATTTGATTGCTCTCTGTAGTGCTTTTCTGACTTCTTCCTTATTTTTCTCAACCCCTCTGTGGAACATTTGGATGCATCTCAATATCATTCTCCTGAATTCCTTTTCAGGCATTTCCAAAGCCTGCCCTCCTTTCTATGTGAATTCTAAATATACCACTAGCTCATTTGTTTCTGCTACTCTATCTTGTTTCTAGACATGAGCTGTGATTTTCTGTTGTTTTTTGGTCATTTTCAATAATCAGATGAATGTATGTTGGTGCATTATTAAGCATTTTATAGCCTTGAGGTAGATGTGATCAGGATATGGATTTCTCTTTTCACTTCTCTTATTACTCAAATCAGAGTAATTTTAGCAAGTTCTGGTTATATACGCTGCTCTGGTGTATAACAGCTGATACTGGCTTTTGCCCAGATGGTGGGATTTTATAGGGTATAAGTTCCGCAGAAGATGAGGATTTCTGCTCCTGTAAAGATTTACAGCCTCAGAAGCCCTGTACAGGGTCGCTATGAGTCGGAACCGACTCCATGGCACATAACAACAACAATTATAGATTGGTAGTGTAGTGGCTATGAATTGGGCTACGAACCACAAGATCAGCAGTTCAAAACTACCAGCTGCTCCACAGGAGAAAGATGAGGCTTTCAGCTTCCATAAAGATTTACAGCCTCGGAAACCCTGTTCAGGGTAGCTATAGGTCAGAACCAACTTGACTTCGTGGCACTTAACATCAACAATTATAGATTGGCTGTATGTCCACAGTTGCTGTCTTTTCTTGGTTAACTAGGGAGAGGAATAATCCTCCCAAAGGTAAAAGGGCAACCAAAAAATCATAGCAAACTATGAGTAAGATTTTATCGCCTCTTTTTCGGCTTCTTGCCCTCAAGGCCATTGAAGCAATTTCACGATGGTCGGCCTCTTTCCTTTTTCCTCTCTCACCTCTCCTCAAGCCCACTGAGGTGTTTCTCCTAGTGAAAAACAACCCAGGGCTGGCCAGATGCATTTTGGAAGACCCTCACATTTTAAGCTGTTTGTGTTGACTCCTCCCTCTTCTTCAATTCTGGGTCCTGTGGTCTTTGGTGAGCAGATCTACGTGCATGAGCAGTAGAACCCACCGGAGGAGGTGGGGAGAGGTGTACACTCACTGAGGTACCCCCTCTAATTAACAGAGAAGAGGTGCACAAACATTGTTTACACATTTATCTCTGATGATTGGTCAGGCCCCCGCAACAGGAGTTCACTCTTACTCTTATGTCTGCTCCATCCCATTCAAGATGGCTGCACTGGGACTTGCTAGCAGCCACAAGTCAGAAAACACCACTTTTGTTCCTTTTCCTACAAATCCCACTAGCAGTAAGCCTTCCATATTTATAAATATTCCTTTATATTTGCTACAGAGTTCCAGGACTGTCCCGTGAACCTGCTTCATCCAGTATTCTGAGTTATTGTTCTACATTGTTTTTATGACTTTTTCTATGCCTAAGCTCCCAGATTGAAAGACATTTAAATTCATGGACATCACCAAGGGAGATACTCACTGATGCCACAGGTAGACAACAAAGAGAGGACAGGCCCTTTGTTACTGTCATATTTGGAAGTTTAGTCAGAGAAGAAAGGGTAATCAAAGGAAAATAAACATCATATAAGCAGGAGAGTACAGTCTTATGGAAGCCTACCAATGAAAAAAGGGTTGATAAAGTTTCTGAGATTGAGCAAAAGGTTAATCTTACTTTCGGTCAGGTACACGAATTTAGACTTAGTTTTACCACAGCGAAAAGAAAGTAAACATATTAAACAGAATTATAAAGTGGGCAAAAACCAAAAGGGAAGTACACACTCAGCATTTCTCAAGCTGAGGGAATTGAAGAAAAAAATTCAAACCTCAACTTTCATTATTGACGTATTCTCTGGGCAAATTACTGAATAATGCAGAATGTATAAAAAGAAGATGGAAGGAAACTATACTAAAGACAAATGGTCAAAGTTAAACCATTTCAAGAGACAACATATGATCAAGAGCCAATGACACAGAAGGAAAAGTCCAAGGTGCATTGAAGGAATTGGCAAAGAACAAGGCACCAGGAATTGATGGAATAAAAATGGAAATCTTTCAAGAAAGTGAGGCAGCACAGGAGGCACTCACTCATCTATGCCAAAAAATCTGGAAGATAGCTATCTGCCTGACTGATTGGAAGAGATCCGTATTTGTGCCCATTCCAAAGAGAGGTGATCCAATGGAATGTGAAAATCATCTGACGATCTCTTTGATATCCCATGCAAATAAAGTTTTATTAAAGGTAATACAAAAACAGCTGCAACCATACATTGACATAGAACTTCTAGAGAGCAAAGCCGGATTCAGAAAAGGATGTGGAACAAGGGATATCATTGCTGATGTGTGATGGATTTTGGCCGAAAGCAGAGACTATCAGAAAGATGTTAACCTGTGCTTTACTGACAACGCAAAGGCCTTCAATTGTGTGGATCATGACAAGCTAAGGACAACATTGCAAAGTATGAGTATTCCTGAACACTTAATTGTGCTCATGAGGAATCTGTACATGGATCAAGAGGCAGTTGTTTGAACAGAAGATGGGAACAAGGAATGGTTTAAAATTAGGAAAGGTATGCAACAGGGATTGTATTCTTTCACCATACTTATTCAACCTGAATGCTGAGCAAATAATCAATCCAAGAAGCTGGGTTATATGAAAAAAAACGTGGCATCAGGATTGGAGAAAGACTCATTAACAACCTACAGTATGCAGATGATACAACTTGACTGCTGAAAGTGAAGAGGACTTAAAGTACTTACTGATGAATACCAAAGACCTCAGCCTTCCATATGGATTGCATCTCAATGTGAAGAAAACAAAAATCCTCACGACTGGACCAATAAAAAACATTCATATCAATGGAAAAGATTGACGCTGTCAAAGACTTCATTTTTCTTTGATCAACCATCAACACTCATGGAAGCAGCAGCCAAGAAATCAAATGACATATTTCATTAGGCAAATCTTCTGCACAAGACCTTTTTAAAGTGTTGAAGAGCAAAAATGTCAGTTTGAGGACTAAGGTGCACCTGACGCAAGCATGCTATTTTCAATAACCTCATATGCATGTGAAAGCTGGACAGTGAATAAGGACAACCGTAGAAGAATTGATGCTTTTGAGTTATGGTGTTGGAGGAAAATATTGAAAGTGCCATGTTGTTGTTGTTGTTACATGCCATCAAGTCGGTACCGACTCAAAGTGACCTTATGCACAGCAGAACGAAATACTGCCAGATCCTGAGCCAACCTCACTACTGTTGCCATGTTTGAGTAGTAAGGTGCCACTTTGCCAATCCATCTCATTGGGGGGTCTTCCTCTTTTTCTGACCCTCCACCTTACCAAACATGATATCCTTCTCCAATGACTGGTCCCTCCTGACGATATGTCTGAAGTATGAGAGATGAAGTTTGGCCATCTTGGCCTCCAAGGAGCATTCTGGCTGCACTTCTTCCAACACAGATCTATTGGTTCTTTTGGCAGCCCATGGCACTTTCAATATTCTCCTCCAACACCATAACTCAAAAGCATCAATTCTTCTACGGTCTTTCTTATTCACTGTCCAGCTTTTGCATACATATGAGGCTATTGAAAATACCATGCTGGCAAAAGAACCAACAGATCTGTGTTGGAAGAAGTGCAGTCAAAGTGCTTCTTGGAGGCTAGGATGGCCAGACTTTTCTTTCATATTCAGACATATTGTCAGGAGGGATCAGTCCCTGGAAAAGAATATCATGTTTGGTAAGGTGGAGGGTCAGGGAAAAGAGGACGACCTCCAGCGAGATGGGCTGGCAAAGTGGCAGCATCACTGGGCTCAAGCGTGGCAACAATTATGAGGTTGGCCCAGGACCAGGCAGCATTTCATTTTGTTGTGCATTGGGTCGGTGTGAGTCGATACTGTGTCGATGGCACCTAACAACAACTGACAACATAAAGTGTGCATAAGCATAGACAAACTCCAAGGCTTAGAATGGTTTCTAGGGAAGGAATAAAGCTTTAAAATTTCTTTCCTGAATCTTCCTTTCTGAAGTCTTACCTGAATCCAGTCTCCGAGTTAATATTGCTGGGATAAGCATAGATTTTTTCTTCTTCAAGTACATCAGGTCTTGCTTTAGCATTATTAAAATTTTGAACTTTCACTAAAACAATAAAGTAATGATTAGTCAGATGATCTTATAATGAAAAATGTTGTTTTAATTTACTCAAACTACATCAATTGGATGTTCTTTTCAAATAAATTAATGTGTACAAAACTGCTTCATACAGTGAGTAAATAGGTACGTATCATATCTGTTTATTAATGTACTCAAACACTGGGAGCCATACTATGTACCAGGACTCTCTAGTGAACATTAAGGTGGAGCAGCCAGTCAGACAGCAGGTGAAAACAAGAAGGTGGCGAATCCCAGAGCAAGTGAAGAAGACATTTTAGAAGGAAGGAATGATTAACTATGTCCAATGCCATTAAAGGGTTGAAGTTGATAAGGCCTGAGGAAAGGTTGGTACATGAGCTGCTGTTGAATTGGACATAAGTTGCTTATGTTCAAATATTATATCCCTAAAATGTTGTCTTCTACATCATAAGCTTTCATAAATGAAGAAACGTAGAGCACATTAATCTTAGACATAGAAACTTCTTGAATTGGGAAAAGACGGTAACAGTTATATGGTATTAAAATAAAACTGAAAAGTTAGAAATGAAGGACATGCCCATAGTCTGACAATATAAAAATGTCCATCTTTCAGGCCCATCTTTGTAATTTTTAAGGTAAATTACATGAACTCAGCATTTTTCAGACCACAGGTCAAGTTGTTGTTGTTGTTAAGTGCCGTCGAGTCGATTCCGACCCATAGCGACCCTGTACAGGGTTTCCGAGGGTGTAAATCTTTACGGGAGTAGAAAGCCTCATCTTTCTCCCGCGGAGCGGCTGGTAGTTTCGAACCGCTGACCTTAAGGTTCGCAGCCCGATTCGTAACCACTACGCTACCAGGTCAAGTAGCAATACAAATACAAACTACATGGAAGAGGAAGTTCTCCATTGGCTTTTCTATCACAAGTCAAGGAAAGCATGTACGCAAAAATCAGTAAAACACTAAAAGGAATAGGTGGATTTGCTGAGTATTTACATTTTTCCTCATTCTGTACAGAAGGATGATAACTGGAAATTATTGATTTACTGATCCATTTGACTATTTTTAGAACAAAAAAGCAATTCAATTTATTATCATGTTGGAACTTACTAATTAACTTATTCTCCCAGTTTTCCCCTCTAAAGGCATACGTGCAAATTAATGCTTGAAAGGAGTTTAGCTCTAGAGATTAGCTCCTAATAATGAAATTAAATTGGTCCAGTTTCAGTTAGAATCACTGCATCAAACAATCACGTCCAGAAAATACTATTAACCATACTGAAACTGGTGACGGTGATGGTGTGTGCTGTGGAGTCAGTTCCAACTCAAAGCAAACCTCTATTAGGTTTTCGAGGCTATAAATATAAACAGAAAGCGTCATCTTTTTCTTGCAGAGTGGCAGGTAGTTTCAAACTGTTAACCTTGCAAAAATCAGCCCAAAACTACTACGCTACAGGGATAGCTCCTTTTAAACCATTTTTTAGCAAAGAGAATCAAGAAAAATTCATGTATCACAAAGATTATGTGAATGTCATGTATATCAGGGGACGAGCCTTAAATTACTTGTGACACAATACACTAAGCAACGTCCCTAGAAGTTACTCCCTAAAGTTTCTCCTGTCAGAGCTAATAGTACGTTTCCTGGTATAGCGCTATAGGATCAGCACTGGACTGCAAACCACAAGGTCAGTAGTTCAAACCCACCAGCTGCTCCTCGGAAATCTTACACAGGGTCGCTTTGAGTCAGAACCTATTCGATGTCACTTAACAACAATAGCAACATAATTCAAAAGTCCTAGGGTAGTACTGTAGGATAAGCACTGGAGAGCTAACTCCAAGGTCATAAGTTCAAACCCATCAGTCGCTCCTCAGAAACCGTATACAGAGTTGCTCTCAGTCAGAACCGATTTAAAGGAACTTAACAGCAATGTAATTTTAAAGTAAGTATTACTGAGAATGTGGAAGGAAAACAATTATGCTTAAACCTTTGAGGGGAGGAGCCATGTTTGCAGAAACCCGTACTACATTTAAAATAATTATATAGTAATTATATAATTCTTATGTAAATTATCCCTTTATTTTTACATGTCCGAATGAAACACTATCAGGTTTTCTTAAATTAAGGAATACAACAATGTGAGATTTATTCAAATATAACATTTAATAATGAATACAGAATTCTCTTATGGATTAAAAGCAATTCTTTATAATTTAGGAAGATAAAAGATAAGTATAAATTTTATATACTAAAGGAAATTCTCTTTTTTGTTCAAGTTTAAGTGTTGTTGTTGTTGATATGTGCCGTGGAGTCAGTTCCGACTCATAGCGACCCTGTACAGGGTTTCCAAGGCTGTATTGCCTCTTTTCAAATGGACTCAGTTTTTTTGTTTTTAACCAACGAGTACATGACTTATTTTATAGTATGATGAATTTAAAATGTCAAGCATATCTCTAGAGTAAATCCCAGAGAAATAACTCTTGGACTACATTTTAAACACATAAATGTCCCCTGATTTACATGACATTAACATAATCTTTGGGATACAGTTGTCACTTCTTTGTCATGGAGCATTATGCATTACAGAAAGCACTTTTAAAAAGTTATCCACCTGATACTTTACTGAAAGTTTACTACACTCCTGTAATACTAATAAGAAGTAGCACACTAAATGAATATATGCATAAATTTGAATTCTAACTACAAGTTACAACAACTGACGGACATATCAGAGAATGGAATAATTTCAACAGGATTAATTTGTTTCTGACACATAGATCACTTTATTGAAGTCCTGAGCAGTTTCCACTAAAAAATAACCATTATTTAGAAATTAAAGTCTCATTCTTTTCAAAAAAGTTGACTGGGTGGAACATACCTTCTTTTCTATTTTAAATCCTCTACCTAATTTTGCTAACTGTTAGCCGATAAGTACAAAGCATAATGGTTACGAGTCAAGCTGCTAACCTCAAGGCCAAAACTATCAGCCATTCCATAGGAGAAAGATGAGGCTTTCTGCTCCAGTAAAGATTTACAGCCTTGGAAACCTTATTACACAGGGTAGCTATGAGTCAGAACTAACTTCACGACATATACCATCACCACCACCAAGTACAAAATTGTAAAAGCCAATTAAAAATGAGAAATCAGTCACATATTTCAAGTAGACAAACTATTCAGTACATCCCTACACTATAAATCCTTTTCTGGTCACAAGAAGACACAAAAAAGATCAATACAATGAAGCACAAGTTAAGACCCATATAACTTCTTCCCCAGCACAAGAAAAGGGGTCTCTGTCAAAATGGTCATCTGAATATGTGAGGTATTTTGTTGTCACAGCAATTATCAACTCAATAACATCAAGTCAGCTGCTTTCATGGCCAGATTTTAATGCATGTTAATAGTGCAGCAATATTGAAATCTAAATTTCACCAGGACTTGAATCTTTCATCTGTTAGAGTATCCTTCCATGTTATTTTTATGTTAACATAGCTTAACCCTAAATACTTTAATTCCACTGAAAGGTGTGTACGTGTGTGTGTGTGTGAAAGACAGAGAAACACAACTTTCAAGCAGTTCTAGAAAGTGAGCTGCTACATGATTTGCCCACAGCAAACTTGGGCTAAGCAAAGATTGTTGTTGTTGTTGTTAAGTGCCGTCGAGTCGGTTCCGACCCATAGCGACCCTGTACAGGGTTTCCGAGGGTGTAAATCTTTATGGGAGTAGAAAGCCTCATCTTTCTCCCACGGAGCAGCTGGTAGTTTCGAACCACTGACCTTAAGGTTCGCAGCCCGATTCGTAACCACTACGCTACCAGAGCAAAGATTAGTTATGTATAATTTATTTACTTTTTTTTTTTGATGATTAAATGCCAGTCTTACACTTCAGCAGCTTTTGGGGAATCAAAACCTTTTTCTTTTCCCTTTGTTTCTGTTTTCTAACGAAAAGCTTTCACTTTAGCTGGCAGCACTGGTTGAAGACCGAAAATTAGGAATGGAACCTCACTGGTGGTAATTGTATCTTTCTGTTAGTTTGAAATTAGAGAAGTCTGCATACAGTTAGCAAAGAAACATATGGTGCTAAGCAGGTTCTCAGCTACAAAGAAATACGTCCCTGGCTCTAAGATAATAAGCTAAGCTTCCAACTGGGAGGAGATGAAGCAGTTAAAAGGTCTTTACAAAGACAGCTCAGTTGTAATTCTCACCTGTGTAAATTAGCAGACATGTCACGGAACAGATCAGTTCCAGGCCCAGGATGGCCAAAATGAAGTCAAGATACAATTTACTGGGCTCAGGAAAGGAATGCTGAATGCTCAGTAAGAGAAGAAGTGCTGTGTTGCCTGACAAAAAGAAACAAGAACAGTGTTAGCCAGAGATAGCACTGACACACACACACAGGCGCAAACACACACCTAGGGCACACAGTGCACGCACATACATGAATGCAAACTTTCACACACAGAGGACCATTTGTGTTTATCAGCAAAAGAAGTTAGAGGATGAACACCAAAAACTGCTAAGCTTGTGAGGGAAAAAATGTATCTAAGTGTTAATGATGCCACAACATTCATATATAAAAGTATCAATTTTCTTAACAACTATGGAACTTTTGTTCTATTTTATAGAATTATCAACAATGGTATTTAATTGGATTCCCTGTATATTTAAAAAGTATTATGGTTTTTAGAAACTTGTATTACACATGTCTTCAGGATCTACAGGCATTAGAGCATCCTATCAGCCCACTCCAGCCATATACAGCTTGCCAATGGTAGAACTGTACTACAGTTAAAGGAGTTGCAATGATCACACTGCCTGGATGAAAAGCCTGACCACATTGCTTGCTGCTTGCTATTGATGTTAGCTGCTGTTGAGTTGGTCGTGATTCACAGTGACCCTGTGCATAACAGACCAAAATAGTATCTGGTCCTGAGCCATCCACAGAATTGTTGTTTGAATCCATTGTTGATGCTATTGTGTCAATCCATCTCTTTCAGAGTCTTCCTCATTTTCACTGAACCTCCACCTTACCATATATGATATCCGTCTCTATTTCTCCTGATGACATGCCCAAAGTATGAAAAATGAAGTCTCACCATCCTCATATCAAAAGAGCATTTTGGGTGTACTTCTTATAAGACACACTTGTTTGCTTTTTTGGCAGTCCAAGTGACTTTCAATATTTTTCACTAACACCATAATTCAAATGCATCAATTATTCAACAGCCTTCCTTATTCACTGTCCAATTTTCACATGCATATGAGGCTATTGAAAATACCATGGCTTGGGTCAGGCACACCTTAGTCCTCAAACTGATATCTTTGCTTTTTTAAACTTTAAAATGATCTTTTGCAGCAGATTTGGTAATGTAATTACATCCTTTGATTTCTTGACTACTGCTTCTGTGAGTAGTGATTGTGGATCCAAACAAAATGAAATCTTGGGCAGTGTCGATCTTTCCTCTGTTTATCATGTTATTTATTGGTCCAATTGTGAGAATTTTTGTTTTCTTTATATTGAGGTACAATACATATTGGGTGCTGTAGTCTTTGATCCTCATCAGTATTTTAAGTCATTTTTCCTTTCAGCAAGCAAGGTTGCATCATCTTACCTTGGACAAATTACCTAACATCGCTGCAGTTCATCTTACTCATTGGAAAATGGGCATAACAATGTTTTTATTATAAGGAATAAATGAGTGAATATATGACAAATATTTAGAATCCTATCCATTGCTATAGATTCCAACTCATAGTGATCCCATAAACAGAGTAAAACCGCTGCATAGTGGTGGTGGTTATGTGCTGTGGACTCGGTTCCGACTCACAGCGACCCTGTACAGGGTTTCCGAGGCTGTAAATCTTTATGGAAGCAGAAAGCCTCATCTTTCTCCCACGGAATGGCTGGTAGTTTCGAACTGTTGACCTTGCGGTTCGCAGCCCATTCATAACCACTACGCTACCAGAGCTCCTTAGAACTGCTCCATAGGGCCTCTTTTAAGTCTTTAAGGCTGCAGTCTTTATGAAAGCAGACTGCCACATCTTCCTCCCAAAAAGCAGCTGGTGGTCTTGAATTACTGACCTTTTGGTTCATAGTTGAGCACTAGAAAAATCCTATGCACAGAATGTGAAAAGAGTTGTCAGTGGATTTTCAGTGCACTGACAAACACCTTTTGAGTCAGCACTGTGAGAGATGATTAATATTTAATGGACAGTTTTTCATCTGGTGGAATGGGCACACATTTCCCTAAAAGGAGAAATTTTTGGGACATTATTAAGGGGCCCTCCTTGAAGAAGGTCTGTCCAGTACAAAAATCTCAGTTCAGGCTGCTTTTAAAAATAAATATTCCTTCCAGAATTCACCTTCTGGAGTAGTTATCACAAACTTTTCCATATTCTCAATTTCTGGGTTTACCCTTTCTGGTCAAAGATAGGTCCATACGATAGGTTGAAAATTAATGCTTTTCAGTGACAGTCCTAACTTAAATTTCAGTGGGCAAAAAGATCTAAATATGCAACTTTCTGTGTAATTAACAATATTTAACAGAGTTCAAAATATATTTGGATCTAAAGAAGGAAAACAGTTAAGTCAGCTAAATATTCTTTACTAAGGAGGAAAGCACAACCCAGCCTTCTGATTCCACACACACAAATATTTACTTTTCCTTTAAAGAATGAAAAGTTCATCGATATCCTATAGCACTATCACATGTGATAAATAGAATGGTTAAATTCTTTCTAATTAGCTTGACGTTTCGTATCCCAAGAGATTTACCTTCTTTTTCTTCAAATAAGAAAAAAAAAATACTCAAACAAAATAGGAATAAGGTAAATATATGCTTCATTTCCTTTGATTTTTCTGGATTCTCACATGAGTAATAAAAAAGGAGTGTAATTTGGAATTTAACTATTTGGTTTATCATGATTAAGAGTCTCATATTTAACAAGAATTTGAGTGTTAGAAGAAAAGTAAAGACCAATCTCTTTGTAAGCTTAAAAAAAAAAGGAAAAAAAGCTATCTCCAGATAAAAAAATAACCAAAAAACCTGAGAAACTGAACACTATTTTAGCGACACAGCAAGTTAAGTTCTTTCAGTAGTTAAAAACAGGTTTTTGTTTTATTTTAGGGGGGGAAACATTATAGTGACATCTTCTGGCCAAAGAGAGTACTACGCAATTAACGGTTAACTAAACCAAGTTCACCCTTGGAAACGCAAAGAGCAGTAACCACCTTTGTCAAGATTAGGCATTACTATGAAAGAGTTTGACCCTGTTTCTCTCTGTTACAGCAACAGCCCTCTAGCTTTCACTGAAAGAATGAACTTGAAATGTGTCCTTAAAGGAAATGCATACAGAACAATGCGTACAGCAAAGAAAATCTTTAAATTCTATAATACTGTTTTTCCAAGGAACACTCAATTCTATCTGAATACAGAAATATTTAAGTTTCATTCTAGACTCAAATGTAGACACTTTGGCATCAAGTAAAAAATAGCTAAGGGAGTTCAAGAAAATTCCATTAAACCCTTAAATTCTGAAGCCTGCAATAGTCAAGGAAAGCAGGTACTCAGGCATTGTAAGTCCTGCCTGGCTGGACCTTTTGATCTTACCTTCATAAATTATGACCTGTATGTTTTTCAACTTTTCCCTTTTGGGTAATGTATCTTATTATATAAGAATCCCTCTTTTTCCTAGGAACTTACCCTGCAGATAAATTTTCCACCAAATATTTCATCACCATCTCCTATTGCAAAAAAAAAGCAAGTAATTTCATTTTTTTTAAATTTCTTTTTATCCCCAGAGATCTCAAACAGCAACAGCATTTATACCTTGATGAATAAACCAGCAGATTCCAGAACAGTGAAAATTTCTGTATTTTGCACTGGGATACATAGATACCATTTCATTAAAAATACCAATTTCAATGAAAAATTAAGGTTATACCCATTATAACAAAAACCAAAAAAAAAAACCAATGAGTTGATTCTAATTCATGGAAATCACAGCTATTTCGGAGTAGAACGGCTTCATAGGAGTTTCAATGGCTGTGACTTTTGAGAGGTAGATTGTCAAATCTTTCTTCCAAGGTACCTTAAGATGGAGTCAAACTGTCAACCTTCGGGTTAGTGGCTAAGCGCTTAACTGTTTGCACTACCCAGAGACTCTTTTCAAGGCATTATTGTTATTGTTAAGTGCCCTTAAATCAGTTGCAAATCATAGCGACCCTATATAGGGTTCCCGAAGAGTGGCTGGTAGATTTGAACCACTGACCTTGCAATTAGCAGTACAGTGCTAACTCTTCAACATTGCAAAACATTAAGGTAATACAATTTTCAGTGGCCACGTCACTCTCACAAATATAAGAGAAGGTATCTGATTATGAAATCAAACTTCACATTTTCTTTCTGCTGACGCTGTTGCCAAACAAGCTACAGAAAAGTCAAAAAAGCAAAGAAGCTTACCCATGGAGTGTACCATCAATGCAAGTCTTTTAAGATGGCTGGTGGATCGGTAGATCATGTTATAGCCTCGTTTCCTTACTTTGCTGTGGTGATACTGGATGTAGCGCTCAAGAACTATATGCAGAATCCACAAAATAACTTTTCCAAGGATTATGACTGTCTGAACTTTCAACGGGTTCGTGTAGTTTCCTGGACATTTGTCCTCATGTGGATTAGGATAAGAACAAAGCATACCTGTTAAAAACGCTAAAACAACAAACACAACCTGGTGGGGGAAAAAAAGGCAATAGGATTATTACTAAATTATTTGGACTTGGAAAACACTTACTATCCCAGCACATACTTTTAAGACTATTACTTATTTTACCCTTTGTTTATGAATACATTTATAAGCATATGTCTTTTACCATTTTTATGAATTTTTCTTAACCAAATATAAAATCTGCAGAAAATTGGGAATACACAAAATCACAGAAGTTCAGCCCTATCAAAGATTTAATGTTATGTGTAATTTCCTGCATACCTTTCTTTCATTAAAGAGTAAAATGGTTAATTTAGCATCTCAAAGGTAATTAATAAAAATTATGGCTTAAAAAATGTATTTCTCATTTTCTAAGAATAAGAATAACAAAACAATTAGCTTAACAAAAATGTACAAGATTGGTGCAAGAACACAGGCAAACAGATATTTTCATATATTGGTGACAGAACTGGGAATTGCTTTTGGAAATTAATATGGAAACATTTTTATCCAGAAATCCTGCCATCAAATAAAAGCACAAGATGTAGGATATAGGACACAAATATTTACTACATGTCTTTTTAAGTGCAAATAACTAAAGTTGCCCACGTGTATGTGTCCATCCATAGTACCATGCCTGTATAAATAACACATCCATCCATATTATAGGATACTATACAGCCACAAAAAGAGTAACTCAAATCTCCATGTACTGGTCCGGATGGACGTCTATGCAGAGCAGTGGTTCTCAAAGTGTACTTTCCAGACCAAGAACATAAGCATCCCCTGAGAATTCAAATTCTAACAAAAACTGAAATAGTAGCATGTGACAAATTATTTAAAACATTTGTCAAAAGTAGTAATAATTGCTATTGCTATCACAGATTGAATTGTGTCCACCCACCATTACTCCCCCCCACAAAAATTAAGCACCTCTGGTGGCTTAGTGGTTAAGAGTCGGGCTGTTAATCTCAAGGTCAGCAGTTTGAAACACTAGCAGGAAAGTTCTGCAGGTGAAAGATGAGGCTTTCTGCTCCCATAAAGTTTTGTTGTTGTTGTTACGTGCCATTAGGTCAGTTCCAACCTATAGCGACCCTGTATAGGGTTTCCCAGTAGCAACTGGTAGTTTAAACCACCGACCTTGTGGTTCAAACCAACTTTGCAGTCCAGCAGCCTCAGAAACCCTATACAGGGTGGCTACGAGTTGGAACCGACTCCACAGCACATAACCACCATCACCACCTCCAGAAAATGTGTTGGAATCCTAGGCCCTGTGGACATAATCCTGTTTAGAAATAGGTGTTTCTTTGCTTTGTAAGGTTACTATGAGTTGGATCATCTTGACAATGGGTCTGATTTGATTTCTCAGTGATGTTGTTTTCAAGTGCCTTAGAGTCAGTTCTGACTTACAGTGACCTGGTATATGGTTTCTGAGTAGCAACTGGTAGGTTTGAATCACTGAGTGTGCAGTTAGTAGTCCACTGTTCATTCTACAGTACCACGCATAGGGTATTATTTTCAATTTAATAATTTTTTAACCACTTATGAAAAAAGCAGTTTAGACACAGAGGCACACACACACTCATGAGAGAAGACAAATGTCATGTGAGGATCATCAAGGAACCAAAAATACTGGTACTGACATGGAAGGAATTAAGAGACAAGACCCTGACTTTGGTTTTTAGCCTTCAGAACTGGTAAGAAAATGAGTTTCTGTTCTTTAAAGATACCTACTTGTAGACTTCTGTTATATCAGAACTAAGATACTGAAAATATTGCTATGGCAATTCAAGATCTAGATAATCAGAAAAGAAAATTTTGAAAAGTCAACATATTTCCTAGAGTGAGTTATGTGACCACCTCACTTTAGTTCCTCTATATACTCTCTGAAAGAGACCATTGTCCGGAGAGAACAGTCGCTAGAGAAGGATGTCATGCTGGGTAAGGTGGAGGATCAGAGAAAAAGAGGAAGACCCCCAATGAGATGGATCAGCCAGGTGGCATCATTGATGGCGTCAAGTGTGGTGGCGGTAGTGAGGTTGACCCAGGATCGGACATTGTTTCGTTCTGCTGTGCATGCGGTCGCTATGAGTCGGTTCCAACTCGATGGCTCCTGACAACAACAACAACATATACTCTCTGGGGAGTAGCATAGAGATCTACCCTTCCTGCAGCCAAGGCTAAGTCTTGGATATAAAATTTCCCCATAATAAATCACTTATTTAACCTGGAGTGGTCCCTTCCTTTGATCTATTCCAACCCTTCTACATATTGTAGCCACTTTCAGACTTCCCCAGGAGAACACCCCCACCCAGCACCACCACTCCACATATAGTGTACATTAAACCCGACTGTTCCATTTTGTATAAAGGAGCCCTAGTAGCATAGTGGGCTATGCATTTGAATCCATCAGCCATTCACCAGGAGAAAGATGATCCTTATTGCTCCTGTAAAACTTTACAGCTTCAGGGATACAGGGTCACTATGAGTAGGAATCAAGTCAACAATACACAGCAGCAGCAGCAGCAGCAGCAGCAGCACACAGACATTAGGTGGTCTTTAACACTTTAAGTTATAAAGATTAAGATTTTCTTAGTTCTAAAGCTAGGGCAGTCAATATCACAGAATCAAAGGCATGATGCACCAGAGGAATTGAAAAACAATTCAAAGGGAGTAGTAGTTAATCTTCTATTTCAGAATCAGAGGACCTTAGGACCAGCATGAAGGAAAAGCATAAGTGGAGCCTGGGATCCTAACCAGAAAAGCGGAGACAGCAGATACAGTGGCAGAGATGACGACATAGACAAACAAGAGTAGCTGAGGACTCCAGGCCCATGGACTGAGCGAGAAGAGCTGTGTGCCTATGGGCAGGAGGCTGGCTTGCTAATTGTGCCCTTTAGACATTTAACCAAATATGTATTTTCTGTTTTGTTATGTGTACATCGGGAAAAATAAAAAGGAATAGAGGTAAATACTGTTGACTAATGGTACATGGAAGGGATTGTAATCATTACAATGAAATAAAATATAATTTATTTAATGTAAAACTGCTATCTGCCCTTTAAACTACCACTCAATTTATTTAAAAAAAAATAACTAAAGATTCAGTTCTACGCTCAGAAATAAATAGTTTTATAATAGGATCACATGACTGTTTCTAGCAACAAACTATTAAATACAGAAATATATGTAAGCAATATGTATTTCTTTTGGCTTTAAAAACTTTTAAAAACTGCAAGTGGTCATATACACACTGTTGTAAACATTTTTAAAATTCAATATAATCATGAAGATTACCCTATGCTAAAATGTATACATCTAGCCCATTTCTTTTGAACAGTTGCATAATGTTCCCTTATGGTAGGAACACAAAGTGTCCTCTTGACGGCATCCATATTGCAGTCCCTTGATAATGTAGACAGTATTGTTATGATCAGCATCCTCGGTGTTAGGTGCTATGGAGTCAGCTCTTGTATAAAGAGATCCTTTATACAATAAAATGAAAAGCACTGCCCTGTCCGTGCCATCCTCTCAATTGTTACTACGTTTGAGTTTGCTGCTGTAGAACTCACTGAAGGTTTTATTTTTTTCACGGACCGTCTACTTTATCAAGCATGACATCCTTCTCCAAGGACTGGTTCCTTCTGACATCATGTCCAAAGTACATGAAACAGGCTCACCATCCTTGCTTCTAAGGAGCATACTGACAAATTTGTTTATCCTGGTAGTTCAGGCTATATTTAATATTCTTTGTCAACACCATAATTAAAATGCATCAGTTCTTCTCTAGTCTTCCTTATTCACTGCCCAGAATCTGAGATAACTGAAAATGCATATGAGGTAATTGAAAATACCATGGCTTGGGTCACGTGACATCTTTCCTTTTCAACACTTAAAGAGGTCTTTCGCAGAAGATTCGCCCAATGCAATGTGTCCTGTGATTTCTTGACTGTTGCTTCCACAGGTATTAATTGTGGATCTAAGTAAAACGAAACTCTTTACAACTTCAATATAGTCTCCATTTATCATCTAATTGCAAGGATACTTTCATGTTGAAGTATTATCCATATTGAAGGCTGTCGTCTTTAATCTTCAACAGTAAGTGCTCGAAGTAACAACGTCCTTCCAAAAATCTAAACCCACTGCCCACAAGTTAGCCATTGACCCACAGCAACCCTATAGGACAGAGCAGAACTGCTCCACAGAGATGTCCTCTTCACAGAAGCAGACGGCCACATCTTTCTCCTGGCTGTTGGGTTCCTAATGCTGAGCATGTTAGCAGTCAAACACTTAAACCACTGCAATACTAGCAGTGGTGATTATTACTGTTGTTGAGTGCCGTCAAGTCAGCTGACTCACAGCAACCCTGTTTAGGGTTTCCAAGAGTAGCGAGTGAATTTGAACTACTGACCTTGCAACTGCAGTACAGTGCTGTACAGTTAAATTGCCCTCTGAGGACCTTATAGAATTTTAGGGAACATCACTTTCTCCCCAGCCAACTTACGTGTACTAACAAGAGAAGATTTGCTATTATGACTGTAGGAAGAGGATGAAATCTGGGTCTAAATTGAGCTTGCAATGAATGGTGTGGTGGAAGACGGGCATCTAGAAGGGGATCATCTTCAATACTTTGGGTAAGATCCAAGGAACCCTATGCAGAAAAAAAAAGCAAGTTACAATCACTACTTCCGGATTATTTCTCTAAAACAAACTATAAAGCTTTTAAAACCATTACACAAGTAACAGGCAAGAAAAGGTATTTCCTATCTAAAGCCAATTTTTCAAAAACCCTTTATATAATTCTAATGTCTACAACTTGGTGAAGCAACAAGCATTAAAACAGGTGGAGGACATCCTATTTATCTTTTACACCTCACAAACAAGGTAATCCATAATGAGAAAAAAGCAAATAACTTTCTTCAAGTAGCCCCAAGCTCAGATATACTACTTTAAATTACCTACATTTTTTAAACAAAATTATAGTATATAGTTGTGATATTTAAACGTCTGTGATGTCCCAAAGAATTCTGAATAGTGGGTGAAGACTTTAGATTTGAACTGCATGGGCTCATGTCCACTTATACGTGTATGAATTGCTTTAGTGTTTTTGACTGATATTCGCAAGATTTGAGTTCACCGCTATAGTAACGGGGAAAAAAAGTGTGTGTAAGTGACGCCCAGGTAGTTCAAACTTGTGTTGTTCTAAGATCAATTGTAGTTGTAATTTCACTGAAATTGCAGATTAATGTTGAATAATGTGGGCTGTCATCCAAGCAATTTAGTTAGTTATAATGAAAGGTGGTATCTTGACAGGAACACTACACTACAGTTCTCTGAAGCATTCAAACAATCCACAGTAATCCAATCTTGGACCTTTACTGAATACTGGTGGTGGTGGTGGTGGTGCACCCTGGAGCCGGTTCCAACTCATAGCGACCCTGTATAGGGCTTCTGAGGCTGTAAATCTTTATGGGAGCAGAAAGCCTCATCCTTCTCTCATGGAACAGATGGTAGTTTTGAACTAGCTGACCTTGAGATTAGCAGCCTGACTCATAACCACTACAATAGCAGAGCTCCTGTACAGGGTCGCTATGAGTCGGTTCCGACTCCACGGCACATAACAACAACAACAACAACTATGCATAAAAGAAGCCCTGGTGGTGCAATGTTAAGTGCTTGACTGTTAGCCAAAAGATCCTCAATTTGAACCCACCAGCCACTCTGAAACAAAGACCTGGCAATCTGCTCCCTTAGGGATTAAGCCTGGGAAACCCTATGGGACAGCTCAACCTTACCCTATAAAGTTGTTATAAGTTGGAATCATCTAGATGGCACACAACAGCAAAAACACTATATATAAAGCACTGTGCCTGAGAGAAAAAATAACATGCAGTCCCTGTCCAAAAGATTATGTTTTCATTGAAGAGGTTAAAGACAAAGGACTGAAGAACCAAGGAACAACATAATGAATAATTAATAAAATATTGGCAAAGGATAATATGGAGACGTACCAAATAAATTAGCAAATGAAAAAGCACAAATGACGCAACAAAGTTAGAAAGTTGGTGACCTGCACTGCAATGAGATGGAAGTGAAAACTGTATGACAAAAGGGAAACCCTGAGAATATGATTAAGAATGAGGCTAAGGACTCTTTACTTTACAAAGGACAGAAAGTGTAACAAATAGAATAAGGGATGGTTGTTGGTAGGAGGATTACAAAGATAAACATTGTCATCTAAGACATGATCCAGGCGTCCTGGTGTGATATTCATTAGTAAATACTTTAAGTCCCCTTCACTTTCAGCAAACAAGGTAATATCATCTGCATATCACAGGTTGTTAATGAGTCTTCCTCCAATCCTGATGTCACGTTTTTTTTCACATAATCCAGCTTCTCAGATTATTAGCTCAGCATACAGGCTGAGTAAGTATGGTGAAAGAATACAACCCTGTCGCACACCTTTCTTCATTTTAAACCATTCAGTGTTCCCATGTTCTGCTCGAACAACTGCCTCTTGGCCCATGTACAAATTCCTCATGAGTATAATTAAGTGTTCCAGAATACTCAGACCTCACAGTGTTGTCCATAGCTTCTCTGTACCAAAAGAAAATGGTTGATGTTCAACCATTCAAAAGGTAACATATGACCAAGAGCCAATGATACTGAAGGAGGAAGTTGTCATGTCTGACAACTGGCTATACTCTGTGATGCATGGAGAAATTAAACCAAGTAGAGGTGACAGGAGATAAAAAATAACAAGGAAGACACAAATGAAAATAGTAAAGTTAAAACCAGGTGGGACACAGTACTCTGATGGAGATACTGTGACTGACACCCAGTGTGGAAAGTATATTTTATATACATAACAAAAGAGGTGCTGGGAGCAGGGAAAAGAGTGCAATATCTGGTGTTATTGATGCATGCTGTAAGCGGGACCTTATCAGAAGAATGTAACTTGTAGTTGCTAGGGAAACAGAGATAGGGCAGTTAGATGTTTATGCAGACTTGAACTGAAGGTCATACAAGGAAAAACCCTTGCAAGTTCCCTGTCCCCCAAGGCAGCCTTGTTGTTGTCTCCATTAAGTTTGATTTAGGTCTTTTTATATCTTCAAAGTCTCTTAATTTTTCATATATGCAGAGAAGTTACAATAATTGTTTAATGTTTCCTTGCTAATTCTAACATCTGAGTCTGTTTCAACGATCTCATTATAGGTGGTATTTCCTTAATTTTATATTACCTACCATTACAAATTTTACCTCTTTGGATGCTCAACATTTGTGTGTTCTTATAAACTGTCTAGACCTTTGTTCTGAAGAGTAACTGAACTATCTGAAAACAGTTTAATCCTTTTTGTCTTGTTCTGAAGTCTTACTAGGTAAAACGAGAGCCATATATATTGTTGTTAAGTGCCACTGAGTTGGTTCTGACTCATAGTGACCCTGTAAATGGTTTCTGAGGAGCAGCTGGTGGATTTGAACCACCAACGTTGCAGTTACCAGTCAGTCCAGTGCTTACCAAACAGCACCACACCAGGACTCCAGAGCCATTTATGTTGCTAAGCGCCATCATGTCAGTTCTGACTCATAGCAACTCTGTATAGATTTCGAGGCTTCAAAACTTTGCATGAGCAGAAAGCTTCATTTTCCCCCAGCAGTGCAGCTGGCAGGGTTGAGCCGAACACCTTATAATTCACAGTCCAGTGCTGATGGTATAGTCTTGGGACTAATTAATCCCACTACTGATTCAAAATCCTTTGAGTACTGTACCTAATGCCCTGTGAACTATGAGGTTTTCCATCCTGGTTGGTGGAACAGGCACTTCACCTGGTTCTGGGGAGCAATGAATACTGTTCTCTTTACTCCTTTCAGGTAGTTTTTTGCCAAGCTTTTAAGGATATTTCTCAAATACTTACGCCCTCATCAGTAGCCCTTACGCATGGTGGCCTGCATGGTGCCTTGATCTCCCCAGATTCAACAACATAACCTCAACTCAAGGAGTCTGCCTAGCTCCAGCAGGATTCCCCTTCACTCTTGTCTACCACAGCCTGAAAACTCAAGGCAGTAAAACTATGACAGTTACAGGGTTCTTTGTTTCTCATCTCTCAAAGATCACTGTCTTTCACTGACTATTATCTAATGTCCAGCATGGTTATAACTTGTTTCATATATCATACATGCTTTTTGGTTATTTCATACAACAACTGCCCTGTTACTCCAACTTGTCCAGGAATGGAAGTTCCTCTTTTACATCTCTTGCAATACTAAACACAAGTATTTTTTTTCTATTTTAAACTCCTATAAAATGTACTATCACTTGCCATCAAGTCAATTTCAATTCATGATGATCCCATGTGTGTTAAGAGTAGAGGTGTGCTCCACAGAATTTTCAATGGCTAATTTTGGAGTCCTGGTATGGCGCTGACGGTTAATGTGCTGGACTGTAGAGTTGGCTTGGACCAAAAGGCCGGCGGTTCAAGCTCACCAGCTGCTCCCTGGAAACCCTGTATAGGGTCACTATGAGTTGGAATCCAAATCGATGGCACTTAGTGAGTGTGAGTGAATTTTTAAAAAGTAGATCACTGTGCCTTTCTTCTGAGGAGCCCCTGGGTGGACTCAAACTGCCAAGCTTTCATTTAGCGGCCAAGTGCGTTAACCATTTAGTGCATTCAGGCACCCTACAAAATGTACTGCTCATAACATTCATTGTGGATATTTCATATGTTGGCTTATACTGGGTTTTTTTTTCGGTGTACCTCTTTTTTTTAACCTTACAGCATTGAAGGGTTTGAGAACTACAGTACAGTGTCCTTTCTACGGCTTTTACTAGATGTAAAGAAAATGTATTTGCTTAACATTAAATACACTGTCACATAGATCTTATAAGAAATATGCATAAAAACTATAACAACAGTACCCACCCTACAAATTCACCTAAAAATGACAGGTGAGAGGAAGAGAATTCTTGAAATCAAAAAATTTCATCATTAATTGTGACTGTAAAACTTGGAACTCTAGGGACCGGTCAGTTTTGCCATTCCACTGGGTATAAAAAAGAGCCATCTCAGAAATAGGAAGTGAGGGGCTGGGGGGGGGGGCAGGGGAACAGAGGGAACCTCACTATCATCAAGGAGTACAGAGCATACTTTGGGCCCTGAGGTCCTTGTACACAGAAACTTCTTGATCCAGGAGGCAGAGAGCTATGACAATAGAAGGGTGGCAAAGGGGCAGCAGAGAACTAAGACGCAAAGCACAAGACAGAGTAACATGCTTCCCAACTGACCCACAGAGCCAGTAAGGCTGAGTGTCTTCAAGCAGGCGGCTCACTTGTGGTGCGGGGCGGGGTACATCTAGGTAACTAATAGGAGCAGCTACGTTTGCTGACCCACCAGGTGTCTTCAGGCTGAAACTTACTTAAGATGGAAAGAAGTGTCTTATGGACATTTACCTGCAATGCTAAAAAGCTTTATAACACTGCTTGAGCAGGGCAGAGGCCAAGGAACCACATGGTAACAGGCTTGGGGCATGGGTACAGGTGAGAGGCAGCACTCTTGACTATATCCTGTAGCCAATAACTATAATCAACATCTGTAAAAGACAACTGTTTTATTTTTGTTGTTGTTTTGTCTACAGGGTATCTCTTCCCTCTTCTTTTGTGACAAACCTGTATTTCCTTTGGGGACTTACCTATCTACCTCTATATTAAGTCTCTTTGGGAATATCCTTCAATACACTTCACCTAACTCTGGTTAAGGGATTATCATGGAACCAAAGAGGGTCCAGCCAATGCAACTCTCTATGAGCAACAAAACAAAGAGATCATGATTGAGGAAGATTAATTCGAGGACCAAAAAAAGAAGCCAAACCCACTGACATCAAGTCAGTTCAACTCACAGTAAACCTACATGTGACAAATAACTGCCTCACAGGGTTTTCAAGGCTCTAACCTTTATGGAAGCAGCTGGTACATTCTAATGGTCAACCTTCCGGTTCACAGTTAAGTGCTTAACCACTGTACTACCAGAGGTCCTTAATTCTAGAACACAATCTTTGGGGGGGGGGGGGAACGGGACAAAAACAACTCCCGTCACTTAGGTCTCTTGAGCACCCTAGCTTGGGTTCTTTCAAAGTTCTAGTTATAGTTATTAAACCTACACTATATTCCTTTCTTTCTTCCTTCCACCAAAAATTTGTTTCACCACTTGCAAACAAAGAACCCGAATTAATACAGTTTGAGCTCTTTTAACTTCTTTACTACTTCTTTACATATCTGGGTCTATGACATGGCCCAGCATTTTTACATTTTTACTGAATGCTAGAAATCACATCCATAAAATACTAAAAGCAGCCATCTTGCTAGGAGCTAAAGTAATCTAGAGACATAGCTGTTGGTAAAACTTTAATCTCCAATTATTTGGTGAAATAGATTTTTAAGATTATTCATTATAAAGAAAGTTATAAAGAAAAAAAAGTCTCTCCTTTTCCTCTTGAATATTCAATTTTTCCACAAACTCTCAGCTTTTGAAGCTCACCTTTAATACTCAAATACAATGGATTCTAAATACATTCATCTATGAATCGCAAATCGATTTCAAGGTCTTACAGCTAGTTTTCCATTCTATCAAATGAAAAATGATATTTTAGTCTTATTATTCAATATTGTTGTTGTTGTTGTTGTGTGCCATCGAGTAGGATCTGACACATATCCACCCTATATAGGGTTTCCAAAGAGCAGCAGGTGGGTTTGAACTGCCAACCTTATAGTTAACAGTCAAATGATTATCCTACAGAGCCACACCAGCGCTCTATTAGACAATGTGCAGTCTTTATTTACTCAAGATTATTTAGTTATAGTCACTGTTGCACAAGAATCTAAGCTGTCCTATGGATGGAGCAACGTTTCATGTGTTTTGTTTTTTTTTCATTCATTCCTATTAATTTACTAATCCAAAGTGCATCAACTTGGCATATCTCTAGGGCAAGAATTATTCTTATAGGCCCATGGGGCAACCCAGTTGATTCTGGGCTCAAAGACATATGCTTCCCCAAAATGTCTTAAAATAGTTAAGCAAAAATGTATGCAATTGTGCCATTGATAGAACAGGGACGTGAGGAAGGAGAAATAGACACACACACCCCCACCCCAACAGTAGGGGGAAAGAGGAGCAGACCTCCCCCATAGAAACATGCTAACAGCCACAAGAGAAGCCACACAACAGTCAGTTAAGAAACGCACAGGAGGCCATCGGTGAAAAGAGACCACTAACACAGGTGTTGAGACAAGATGACAAGATAAGGAGATGAGAGACTGAAATGCCTATGAGTTACCAGAACGTCAGAAATGGCCTTATAACAGCATAAATAACCCCTAAACAGTCATGTTCCATGTCTATCTCACTGGCTTTCAGAGAAAGACCCGTTTGTTTATCTAGTGTACTTTAGCTTTCTATTAAACTCTTCCCTTGCACTTCTGTTGTCTTGTGGCCCAGACACCTCACCCGAATCTGTAACTCCTTGCTAGAAGTCCAGGAGAATTCCTGAGTTGTTTGATCACGTCATGCCACTGTACTACGTAACCTGTAAACAGGGTTACTCGCTTTTTCACTAATCTGGGTTGTTGTTGTTAAGTGTCGTCGAGTTAGTTTCAACTCATAGCAACCCTGTATAGGGCTTCCATGGGATGGCTGGTAAACTTGAACCATCGACCTTACAATTCAAACCGACCTTGCAATCCAGAGTATTAATCCACAGTGCCACACCAGGACTACTGGTTTAAACTCTCCTAAACTAAATTAAGAAAAAAGGAGCTCTGTTAGCCGAAAGGTCAGCAGTTCAAATCTACCTGCTGCTCTGTGGCAGAATGAGGCAGCTTTCTGCTCCCATAAGAGTTACAGCCTCAAACCCTATACAGGGTCACCATAGTTGGAACTGACTCCAACTATAACTAGATTCAGGAGCACTGTGGCTCCGTTGGATAAGCACTGGACTGTGAACCACAAGGTCAATGGTTCAAGTCCACTATACGCTCTGCAGGAGAAAAATGTGACTTTCTGCTCCCACAAAGATATAAAATCTTGGAAACCCTATCAGTCGGAAATGAGTCGATGGCACTGAACAGCGTACACAGATTCAAAACAGCTTACGACAGTTTTCTTTAATATAGGCGATGCGAGTGACAGGTCAGCCCGAGAGATTGGCGTTGGGGCCGCTTCTGGTCTAGTTTTCTAAAACCGGATTGGGAGCCATGCAAAGAGAGACAGACCCCTGTGCCTCCTAGGGATTCTGATCTAATCCCACAGCCCAGCGTACAGAGATGCGACCGAAGGAAGAGCCGTCAGGCTAGACGCGCATGACGTGAAGAGTCCAGTTCCAGGATCACAGATGTACGCCGCACGTGAGCTAGGCACTAGCTTGGAGTCTCCAGACCTGCGCGCCTACCACACAGGAACCTACTCCGGTCTCCACCCGGAGAAATAAGCTCAGAGCTGGAACTGACTGGGGGAGGGGGGGGGACCGAACTCACGATGGCCAGCCGACTTCTAACACAATGGCGCTCCCCAACTTGGCCCTGCGAGCAGGCGGCGCCCCGCCGCAGTGGCTGGAGTAGCTTTTCCCCCAGTCGCCGCCCCGCGCACCCTATCACAGAAACAAGGGGATTCCCATTTGCCACTTCCGTGCACTCACGTCCTCCATCCTACTTGCAGACGCCATTGCCCAATACTTGAAACCGAGCCCTGGCCCGCAGGGCCTCTTCAACGCCTCCGCGCAGCCGGAGGAGGAAGACGGCAACCTACAGATCTAGTCGGCCACGCCCTAGGCACACCCACTTTCCTCCGCCCCGTCTTTGGCTGAGCCCGGGCCCCGCCTCCTCACTCGCGATTGGGCGAGCTAATGAGAGAGGCGTGCTCAGCTAAGCCCTGAAGAATGAGGCTATTGGTCTGAGCCACAGGAAATGTTTTCGATTCGCGCAGTTTCCAGCAATAGTGTGTCTGTTTCTTGCTGTGGGTTAGTGCCGAATCATTCAAAATATAACTATTTTCCGCTGCCACTAATGCTTTTCAAAAAGTTAACTTCTTTTGGTCTTGCTTATTTTTTGTTTGCAAGCACAGCTATTTTATTGTTGTTAAAGGCCATGGAGTCCGTTCCGACTCATAGCGACCAAGTATAGGCTTTCCGAGGAGCCGCAGATGATTTTGAACCGCCGACCTTGGGTCCAGTGCTTATCTTATAGCGCCACAGGAGGACGCTAAGCACAGCTATTGTTGTTGTTAGGTACCATCGAGTAGGTGCCAACTCATAGAGACCCTTTGCGCAACAGAACGAAACACTGCCTGGTCCTGGGCCAACCTCACAATTGCTGCCACGCTTGAGCCCATTGATGCTGCCACTTTACCAGTCCATATCGCTGGGGATCTTCCTCTTTTTCTCTGACCCTCCACCTTACTAAACATGATATCCTTCTCCAGCAACTAGTCCCTCCTGACAGTATGTCCGAAGTATGAAAGATAAAGTTTGACCATCCTGGCCTCCAAGAAGCACTCTGGCTGCACTTCTTCTAACACAGATCTGTTTGTTCCTTTGGTAGCCCATGGCACTTTCAATATTCTCCTCCAACACCATAACTCAAAAGCATCAATTCTTCTACGGTCTTCCTTATTCACTGTCCAGCTTTCGCATGCATATGAGGTTATTGAAAATACCATGGGTTGGGTCAGGCACATCTTAGTCCTCAAGCTGACATCTTAAAGGTCTTGTGCAACAGATTTGCCTAATGCAATGCATCATTTGATTTCTTGACTGCTGCTTCCATGAATATTGATAGATGACCCAAAAAGAATGAAGTCCTTGACAACTTCAATCTTTTCCCATGGATAAGAATGTTGTTTATTGGTCCAGTGCTGAGGATTTTTGTTTTCTTTACCTTGAGATGCAATCCATACTGAAGGCTGTGCTCTTTGATCTTCATCAGTAAATGCTTTTAAGTCCTCTTCACTTTTAGCAAGCAAGGTTGTATCATCTGCATATTGCAGGTTGTTAATGAGTCTTCCTCCAATCCTGATGCCACAGTTTTCTTCATAGAACCCAGCTTTTCGGATTATTTCCTCAGCATACAGGTTGAATAACTATGGTGAAAGAATACAACCCTGTCGCACACCTTTCTTAATTTTAAACCATTCAGTGTTCCCATGTTCTGTTGAAACAACTGCCTCTTGGTCCATGTACAGACTCCTCATGAGCACAATTAAGTTCCAGAATACTCATATTTCGCAATGTTGCCCATAGCTTGTCATGATCCACACAATCGAAAGCCTTTGCATAGTCAATAAAGCAAATATCCGATCACAGGTAAACACCTTTCTGGTATTCTCTGCTTTCAGCCAAGATTCATCAGACTTCAGCAAAGATATCCCTAGTGAATATTCTTTTCTGAATCTGTATTGAATTTTTGGCAACTTCCTGTCAATGTATTGCTGCAACCATTTTTTAATTATCTTGCATGTCATATTAATGATATTGTCCAATGATTTCAGCATTCCATTGGGTTACCTTTCTTTGGAATGGTCACAAATATGGATCTCTGGTCAATTGATTGGCCAGCTGTCTTCCTAATTTCTTGAGTTAGCACCTTCAGTACTGTATCTATTTGTTGAAATATTTCAATCTGTTTGTCATCAATTCTTGGAGCCTTGTTTTTTGCCAGTGCCTTCAGTGCAGCTTGAACTCCTTCTTTCAATACCATTTACTCTTTGATCATATACTAACTCTCGAAATAATTGAATATAGACTAATTGTTTTAGTACCCAGATTATGCCATCTTACTTTGATGCTTCCTGAATAATTGAATATTTTGCCCATAGAATAATCTTTCAATACTGCCAACTCCGAACTTGAATATTTTCTTCAGTTATTTTAGCTTGAGAAATGCTGAGCGTGTTCTTCCCTTTGGGTTTTATGACTCCAGGTCTTTGCATAGTTCATTAAAATATTTTGCCCTTTGAAATTTTCTGTTCAGCTCTTTTATATCATCATTTCTTCCAGTCATTTTACCTTCTCTACATTCAAGACAAGTTTCAAAGTCTCTTCTAACATCTATTTTAGTTGTTTCCTCTCTTTTTAATGACCTTTTACAGACTTCTTGTACAATGTTTTTGATGTTATTCCACAACTCCTTGGTTCTTCATACTTTAGTGTCTAATGCATCAGATCTGTTCTTGAGGTAGTATCTAAATTCAGTTTATATTTTGGCTCTCATTAACTTGTTTTAATTTTCTCCATCTTCACACATTACTTGCCTAGGAACAATTGAAGGTCTTTTCCACAGGGGGATCCTGGTGTTGTTTTAGTTGATGATTTTTAGTTTCTCCCTTGTTTCTCTCACCAGATGTAGTAGATTTAATTCTTGTGTATTCAATCTGGCAAGTACCATGTGTATAATCACTATTTATGTTGTTGGAAAAGGATATTTACAATGAATAAGTAAGTCATTGGTCTTGCAAAATTCTATCATGCCACATCCAGCACTGCTTCTGTTATATGGCCATATTTTCCAAGTAATGATCCTTCCTGTTTGTTTCAGACTTTCAAATCCCAAACACCAGTAATGATTATTTTAATTGCATATTTGATCAACTTCAGACTGAAGAAGTTGGTAGAATTCTTCTACTTCTTCATCATTGGCTTTAGTAGTTGGTGCATAAATTTGAATAGTTATCATATTAACTGGTCTTCCTTGTAGGTTTATGGATAATATCCTATCACAGACATCATTGTACTTCAAGAAAGATCTTTAATGCTCTTTTTGATGGTAAATGTAATGCCATTCCTCTTTAATGTGTCATTCCCAGTATAGTAAATCATATAATTGTCTGACTCAAAATAGCCGTTACCAGTCCATTTCAGCTCACTGATGCCAAGGATATCAATCTTTAGGCATTCATTGCATTTTGACAACGTCCACTTTTCCTAGATTAATATTTCACCCATTCGATATTCAAATTATTAATAGATATTTGCAGTTGTGTCTTCTAATTTTCAGCTGTACCCCATTAGCAAATGAAAGTCCTAAAATCTTTGCTCCATCCACATCTTCCCAGTCATAATTGGAGTGCCTTCCCATTTGAGGGACTCATCTTCGACACTATATCAGTGTTCTTCTGCTATTCATAAGGATTTCAATGGCTAACCATTGAAATCTATCTTATCCTGGAAACTCCACTGAAAGTTGTCCATTATGGGTGACCTTGCTGGTAATTAAATTACCAGTAACATAGCTTCCACCATCACAGCAACACACGAGCCATCACAGTATGTCAAACTGACAAATGAGTTGTTGGTAAATCTCAGTAAACTTCATTTAGAAAGTAACATTTGCTGAGTGCTTAGTCAAGACAACACTGCACTAAGAACAGTACAAGTAATTCTTTCTATAATAAAAAATCTGTAATAAATTACAACTGTTATTAGTTTCATTTTTATAGATGAGGATACTGAGTCTTAGATAATGTAAATAAAGTTACTCTACTAATTACAGTTCTGTTTGATGTTCTGGTTTAACCAGAACTTTATTTCCATTAAATTGCATGCACTGACATAATAATGAGTTGCAATATGTGAACTTTGATTGGATCATGGATGGTTAAAAGCCAAGCAGCCAAAAGACATTTAGAAACTTTTTCCACAAATGGGTTATTATATTAACAAACATGAAGTTGCTTTTCATTTTCTTAGGTGTGATAATGACTTGTGATATATAGGAAAAATATCCTAGTTTTTAGGCAATTCTCACTGTACCTTCATTTCAGAATATAACTTCATGATATCCTCAACTTACTTCCAAATGATTCTATTAAAAATGTGTATATTGCACACCCACGTACATGGAGCATATTTGGCATGCTATTCACAACTGGTAAATCTTTGAGCTTGCTGTCTGTGCATGTGTTCAAACACATTTTTAATGGATGTTCACTGTACCAATCGTTCAGTATTTCTGTTGGCTAGAAAGACTTCAAAATAAAATGCTAATGAGGAATACATTTCTATATTTGGCTCTTGAGAAATAATTCACAGAATCTCAGGGTTGTGGAGTCTTGTTCTATATTTTCCTTTTCTAAGTTTCCTCAGCAGAACTTCCAGACTGAGACAGACTGGGGAAAAAGGAGAGACTATCACTTCTGAAAAGTTAGCCGCTAAAACACTTAGGAATAGCAGCAGAACATTGATATAGTGCCAAAAGATGATCTCCTCAGATTGGAAAGCAATCAAATGACTGAGGAAGATGCTGGTGGAGCAAAACTTTCTGGACCTTAATTTTGCTGGTGGGCACACTGAAAATTAGAAGAAACAATTGCATATATCCATTAATAATTGTAATTTGTTATGTGTAAAATGTGAATCTAGGAAAACTGTTGTTGTTTTTATTAAGTGTCATGGAGTCAGTTCTAACTCATAGTGACCCTGTATAGGATTTCTGCCAGAAGAACAAACAAATCTGTGTTGGAAGAAGTACAGCCAGAATGCCCTTTAGAAGCCAGGATGACAGACTTTGTTGCTCATATTTTGGACATGTTATCAGGAGGGACCAGTCTCTGGAGAAAGACATCATGGTTGGTAAAGTGGAAAGCAAGCAAAAAAGAGAAAGACCCTCTCCATCAGGATGAACTGTCACAGTGGCAGCGGCAATGGTGCTTGCTGTTCTTTTTTCTGTTAGG